AACTTACTGCTACTATTTTCCAAAGTTTAAGTTTTTTTTTTTCCCCATTCAAAATCCCGCGCAGGCTCTATACTTGGTGCATACTTTTCATAAATAGAAGTGGACAAGATTTGAACTCATACTCTCCGTCTAAAAGCTTAAAATGCTGAAGAATGAACGAACTTATTTATTTGCTAAAATAAATGTCGAATTTGTCTTTATGAGATCAATAAATAAGCCGAAACAAAACATACTTCTAATCAATGAAATCAAAAGCATATAAAAAACATTAAAACCAGTTCTATCAGTAGAACATCAGATGAATATTTAGCAGACAACATATGGATCCATGTATTAGATGATAGAGACCTACAGATGTGACTTACTTGAGCTTTCCTGATTGTCTTTGGAGTTTCTAAACAAAAACTGCTTTAATCCTCTATAGTTGAACTAAACTGTGACTGCCCATGTGAACAAACCGCAGAATCACACCCTAGCACAGAGAGAGATTTTGACGTATAAAATATATTAAACATACCAAACATAGTGGTTTTACTAAAAAAAATAATAATATTACGGTCAGAATCATGTCGACAAGTAAATGCATGGTAGTGTCGTGGGGACTCATAAAGCACAAATGAAAAATTATACTGAGCCCTTATCTGTGCCCCATTCTTATCAAAGAATTCATTTTTGAATAGTATATTAATGAAAAATGTATGATTAAAAAATAAATAAAAATTTTGAATTTGTATATAATATTATTTTAATGAAAAATGTATAATTAAAATGGGATCAAATTATTGTTGAAAATTTTATTTTGATGAAAATAATAATAAAATAAATACTTTCATGAGGCATTGATGGCAGAGTTGGTACACAAATCTAAAAGGGCAGCTGGAAAATAAATTAGTCTATAGGTTACTACCAACTACTACGTTATTTTTAAATTTTATTCTTTTTTTATTTTATTTTTTCAAGGTCCTTTTGAAATGGTGATGGCCCACATTTCACTTTCAAACAACCTTAAATCTCAAATTGTATGTATGTAAATAATGATTTGTCCTTTTGAACTATAAATCTCAAATTTCATTTATAATTTTAAATAACCATAAATTGCATGTGTATAGTTGTAAATAAATGATTTGGCACTTATATATGGGTGAAGTTTGATGCAAAAAGTTGGAAAATATTGAACTAAATTAAGAAAGAATAAAAAATAAATTTTTTTTTTTTATTATTACTCATTTGTAAATATGCTTTTATTTACGACAAGCAATATGATGAACGAATAATCTAAAACTCAAATTTTGAAAATAGAAAATAACGCTTCTATTTTAATTGATAGAGAAAATAGCCCATAATATCAAGAAAAATAAGAGAAATAAAGGGTATTTCGGATTTGTCATTTTATTTAAAGACTTTTACATTGACAAAATAAAATCTAATTTCATATGTATCCTAATATTCTTTTGTTCATATAAGTTTTTGTTTTTAACTACATGTTTTATGAAATTCACAACTTTTCAACCATACATTTCATCAACTTTTATAAAAAAAAAAAAAAAATTAAAAAGAAAAAAATTGATTTTAATCCCCACCAATTAAAGGCTTAGTATTATTTTTCAATTACCCTTTTTAACACAACAAATCTATAAGGATTACTCTAAATTGAATGCGTCCTTTATTTTATGACCAAAAACTACAATAATTCGAAAAAAAAATAAAAATCTCCATTTTTCTTACAGAAGAATTTATATTAAGATATTTACGATCACACTAGAAATGTTTTAATTCAGTAAAATAAAACATGTTTATTGATTTGTACGTATTATTATGAAAATTTTTAGTCAATTTGATATCTTCATTGTCATTGGCAAAACTAAGTAAAAAAAAAAAAAAAACACTAAATAATTCTATGTCTTTTCACTTATAAGAAGCTTTCTTGAAAATAAAAAATAAAAAAATCCCCCCCAAAACATGCAAGGGGGCGGCGGAGATGTTAGGTGGTATGAGGGTTGGTTAAGGAGAGAATGGCAGATGGATTTTGGTAGGTGACGGATCCATTGGCGGCTTGTTTGCGAATTATTATGTACAATTAATATTAATTGTGACCGGATTCTTCTGGATTTTGAACCAACCCAACGCCCCCTCTACTTTTTTATGAAAGCTAACCAAAAATTAAATAAAATAAATATTTTGGTAATAGACTAATAGTGGTCCCTAACGGGTTGGATAGCCCCACTCCAAAAAAATGAAAAAGGGAAAATTTTGTAATTAAGAAATTAAGTATCACCCACTTCATAATTAAGAATAAAATTTTCAAATTTCAAAAATCAAAATTTTTAAATTTTTATTTATGAATTAGTTTATTAAACATATATTTTGTTAATTAGATATATTAATGTCACAATTCTATGTAATTTGGTCACAATTTATGAATTAACTGGTTACAAATTAATTTTCGGTTACAACTTATAAAATTGTTGCTTGCAACTAATTTCTCGGTTACAAATAAAAAAATTTGTAGATCACAAATTATTTATCGATTACAAATAAAAAATTTTATAAGTAAAAGATTATACATTGGTCACAAAACAAAATTTTTATTAGTCACAACTCATTTATTCATTGCAAATTATTAAATTAATTGGTCACAATTAATTTTTTTATCACAACTTAATCAATTGTAAGTCACAATCACAATTTTTATGTTACATATTACAAATTAACCAATTATTAGTCATAATAAACTAAATAACTGTTCACAAACATCCAACCACATCTCATTCTACCTACCACTATCACCATGACAACTACCATTACTATCACCATTATCGCCACCAGATCTTGCAAAATCACTATAGTTGCCCAACCACCAACAAAACCTTCATAACGTCGCCCAACCACCAACAAATTCATCGCCACCACAACAAACCACTGCCACCATTGCCACTCCAACATATCAAAACCAAATCAATGTCTGTTCCACCACCATCATCACCTGTAACACTACCACTGCCACCACCACTGCAACCACTACATAGTTCATCCCACTCCATTGCCGCCTTCACCAATAGTGCCGTCACCACCGCCAACGCCGCCACCACCAACATCGCCACCGCAGCTGTCGCACCACTAACACTTCCATTTCCAAACCACCAAAAAGATCCCTAAACCACTACCCATGTGTACTATCTTCTGTTGGCTAGATCAACTCACTGCAATACTGTTAACCACTATATTTTCTCCATCACCTCTCCAAATCAAAAAGCAAATCATCAAGAGCCTCCACCAAAACCAAAGTAGACCATAACCCCGCCATCTTCTTCACACAACTGCCATCTCCACCCACACCAAACCATCACACAACCATCACCACCACATCCATCTTCAAAAAGGTGAGTCGAGTGACGTCGCTATTGATGATGGCCACTTTGCGATCGGTACATTCTCTTTCACAGCACCGCTACACCAATGCTCAAGCAGCAAGCGATGTTGTTGCTACGAGCGTTGGTGTCGTGTCGATGTTGGTGAAGTTTAGGAGAGAGAGATTGAGAGGATGATAGTGCCAAAGCTAGTGAAGGACAGAGACTGAGAGGTAGAGAGAATTAAAATTTACGGTTAAGGATAGTGGGGAGGGTGGGTGGACGGAGGTTGGTATATAAATTATTTCAACAACAACAACAACAACAATAATAATATTATTATTGTTGTTGTTATTGAATTTTTTTCTGATTTTTTAATATAAACTTTGCATCTCATTTTTTAAGTTGGATCTTAAACACATATAGATGGGTGTTATTTCCACCCTATAAAATGAGATATTTGATTAAGTAGAAATTATACCAAATCATACTTTAAAAATTCAACGTTCTAAAATCAGGTTGCAAGTTTCACAATTCTAAAATCAAAATTTTTTTATATTAATTATTTAAACAAACTCATAAAATTAAGAAAATATCAAAATCCTACCCACTACCCACCAAACCCGTAACTCTCCCTCGCTTTCCCTCTCCCTCCATTCTCCGTTGTCTCTCTGGCGCCACCAAGCAGTCATCGTGTCGCGCACTTGGATGGCGTCGAGACATGGATGCTCCAATCATCTGATGGCGAAGAGCTGGTGGTGGCGGCGTAGGTTGTGGTGGCAGCGGTGTGGATCTGCAGTGAGGAAAGGATAATTTTCATTTTAGAATGTCGGTGGATCTGGGTCGGTATCGATTTTGGAAGTCTCTAAAATCATTGTTGCTGGTATGGTGGTTTGGATGTTTTGTTGGTTGAAAATGGTGGAGGTGGCAGTGATGTGATGATGGCGGTTGTGGGATGCTAGCAGTTTTGGATTCGATTTGTTGGTGGTGTTGGGGTGGGGGGTGGTGGTGGTGGTGGTGGTGGGATGCTGGCTCCGATGGTGGTCGTGACAGTGGTTGTCTGTGACTATTAAATTTGTTAATCTATGATCGATAATTAATATGTAACCAATAAAAAATATAAATCATGACCAAAAAATAATGTGTGACCAAAAAAATTGTTTATCTGTGACCTCTAATTTGATAATTTATAACTGTATAATAAATTGTAACTTATAATATTTGTGATTTGTGATCAATAAATAAGTCGTAACTTGTGAATTTTTCGATTTGTGAACGATGAACAAACTGTGACCTATAAAATTTTTGAATTGTGACCGTAAAATAATTTGTGATAAAATTTCTTATTTGTGATTAAAAAATAATAAGTGACGAATTAAATCGTTAATTTGTAAGCAAATTATATAAATTTGTGACCTAAATATAGTTAATTAATTAATTAATTGAATCATAAAATAAATGTTAATAAAAATCTGATTTTTGAATTTTGAGACTTGCTTTTCTTGATTTAGAAATGTGTGACACTTAAATTCATATGAAATTTTGATGTAATCCCCCACCCCTCAATAAATATAGCCCAAATCAGATCCCAAGGCCCAAGTGTGTTAAGCCCAACTGACCATCGTCACCCATGCACCAAGCCCAGTCCAATTTCCAAATGATGTTCACAAATTTCATCGAAATTTTTCTTACTATTTTTTGTTAATAAAGACAAAAAAGGTACAACTTAAACTCATATTTGGTGGCTATTATCTCCATTTTAAAGAGTTTCGAAAAGTATTTTTTTTAGGAGTAGGTGCGATCCGGTTTGGTCTGATTCCAAAGGAAACCGAACTGAATACCAATGAAAATTTTAGAAATTGAGCCATTGGTTCCATAACTAACTATGTAACCGAACCGGAACCAAACCAATTGGTTCCGATTCAGTCTGGTCCGATTCTTTACATTGAAAATGTCAAAATAAAATATTCAATAATCGAACATACTATTCAAAGATTCATTTAGGTATAGATTTACAAAGCGAAAACAAAATAAAAATTATGTAATCAAAATGAAAACAAAATAAAAATTTCGCACTTATAAATTAAATTATATATTATAAATAAATTTATTTAGGTATAGATTTACCCAATATTCTAATTTCGTTTAAAAATCAATTAATCAAAGAATTATAAGAAGAGACAAGGAAAGAATAAAAGAGAAGAAGGAAAGTACTGAAGTCTAAAATAAAGAAGGAACACAATTATTTTTTATAAAAGTGTTGGAGATTAAGTTATATATTTTACCAAAAAAGAAAAAGAAAAAATCAAATGAGAACCGTCTGCTTCCCGCAGTTCTCATACTAGAATCGGGAACCGGATCGAAATTGGTTGGTTCTTAATAATTTTTCCCGAAATCAAATTATTTTTTAAAAGATTCGGACCCGAATCGGCCGGTTCTAAACGGTTCCTATCCAGTTCCACCGGTTCTGGGAAAAATTACTCACTCCTAATTTATTTATTTATTTATTTTTTTAAGAATGTGTGGTTAAAAAAATAAGATTTTTTTTAATTACGTGCATAATATTTTATTATATAAATGTGTGGTTAAAAATAATCTTATAGAAAAAAGAGCTTTAAAACAATGAGAATCAAACATAACCTAATTAATTTTTTGTAACAATCTTGAATATGATGGCTCGCCATGTATATTGAGATGTTTGAGGTGAAATTGAGGGTCATCATTTGACAAAGAAAAAAGTTCACTTAACAACGTTAAAGGAAAAATATTTTTGAACTAAGCCCATGTTTGGGCTCCATTCTTTTAAAATACGTTGTTTCAATACTCGTTTTCAATCATACATTCTCACATAAAATAATATTACATACAAAAAATTTTTTAACCATACATTTTTCAAAAAATTACTATTCGAAAATACATTTTTCCTCGCCAAACGGGGACTAAATAAAAAATGTTATTCAAAAAATAAATACCCGATTTTTTTATAAATAACTACTCCATAATTAATAATAAAAATAGAACTTATTTACCTAATAATACTTACGCATAACTATTAGATGGAAGTTTGGCTTTTTAGGCATGTCATCGGTCAAAGTTGGAAAGGATTTAGGAAGAGTTTTGAGGATCAAAAATTTTAATTTCCGATTTAATGTTGAATAATTGAATTATTCATATTTTAATAGACGATACAAAATAATTTATATTGTTTCTGTAGATCTAAATTATGAGTTGTGTATTGAAATCGATGAGTGAATATTCTCTAGCTTTTTTCAGTTTCAATTTTTAAAGTTCGGGGTGCCGCTAGTTTTGTTGCAAGATTTTCTTTGAATTTGTTAATGTTTACTTATTATAGCCTGTTTGAGCTCTATTGAAAGGCTTTGGAATGAGAGATTGGTGGAGAACGCTTGATAAAAGAAAAAAGATTTAGATTTACGTGTAATATTATTTTATTAAAAAATACGTGATTGAAAAAAAAGAGAGAAAAATAAACTTTTGAAAAAAAAATTATAACAATATTCATGCATAACTGAATAAGAGGATATTAACACCCCAGATTTGAATGGAATAATGATATTTCCTCTTGAGAGGATAACTGCAAAGATAATATAAATATCCGATGATATTTCTTGTAAGATATTAACATATAAATGGTTGGATCAATTTATTTCTTGTCTTTTTTTTTTCTTTTTTTTTTTTTGTTTTTTTAGAGCACCGGTTGAATCTAGTGGCACCAAGTTCCCACATAGGAGGACGATATTTGATCCCTACCATTCTCATCTCTCGTGTAATAAAAAAGATTCACTTGTGCAAATATTGAGTGTGTATTTCCTATAAACTGCATGAATCACTGTGGTTAAATTTCTACTCTATTCTATTATCGGTCTAATAGTCATGCAAATTTATATTATTTTGCTCATAAGCAGAATTTTAACTCGAGCCTACCTCTACACACATATATTACTCTTTAAGAAGTATTAGCCCTAGATTAATGACCACATTATAGTGTCTCAATCATTTCGATGATCGTGGTGTGAATGTTGTCTTTTTCTTATGTTCTAAACCCAACTTATTCGTGTTAACTTCTTTCCTCCAATGTCTCATCCAACCCAACAAATTGGTGGTGATAGCCTCATGTGCGACCTCTTTCTCCACGAGTTGGTTGGCAAGGGTAGCAGATTCACCCTCTCTCCTTCGAGATATTAGGAACCTACCTTTGTTCTCACATTTTTCTCTAATAATAGTAATTGATTTGATTGTAGACATAATATCAACCATCTCCACACTGGACAATAGGAATTTTTTAGTAGTTCACTAATTTAAAATTAATATGACTAAAGCATGTTAGACTATACAAAAAAAATTACTTTATAAAAGAAGTATATATTATTGAGGAAATAAATTGAATGAATTAGTAACTTAAAGTCATTAGATACTCAATTTATCATGAAACACAAAATTATGGAGTTGCAGTAAACTTTCAAACAGTCAAAGAGGGAAAATCTCTTGAACATAATCTAATTAGAGAAATTCATAATTTGGCCAGCAAAAATATGAGCTGAGTCACAAAATTTGTTGATAAGATCACGAATTTATTCCATTGTTGATAACTATTACCCATACAATGATCAAAATAAAATACAGATATAAATTAAGGATCGAATTGAAACAATAAATAGTTAAGCCATTGATCAATAGAGAAAGGGGCAGGGGCAAAGCGGGAAAGACGGATCGAGAGAGTGGATAAAACCGGTCACATCCGGACACATCGCGGCGAATGATAAGTTGATAACAAAATGAATATTTATTACAACAAAAATCAAAATAATTATCGAATTATCATTTTCTACTATTTTTATCTGCCATTGAATAATCAGCATTTATATTTGAGGAGCTGACTTCACTTGTTTCCGACTGCCAAGAAGAATAATCTCTCTAGCCCACAAAAAAATAAGAAATTTAAGCCGAAGAAGAAATGGCGGATCAGTTGACAGATGACCAGATCTCTGAGTTCAAGGAAGCCTTCAGCCTATTTGACAAGGACGGCGATGGTTCGATCCCCCTTCTCTTCTATCATTTCTAATATTTTCGTGTATATCCTACATATATTTGTGTTTATGCTTGAGTTTCTATGTATGGGTGCATATGAATTTAGAATTTTTGATATGGGTTTTATGTTTTCAAGTCGGAT